TATTGCTGAGGAAGGTCCCGCCGGGCGCGGGGGTCAGCCCTGCTCGGGTATTGCTGGGCGGGTGGCGGGCGGCAGCTACCTGGTGCTCTGCAGCTCCTCCCGCAGCCAGGTGGGCAGCGTCTGCCCCATTTTGTACAGGAGCTTGGAGAGCTCGATGTTATGGTCCCTGTAATAGTCCCGCAGGAAGGCGCGCGACTGCAATGGGAGAATGGGGAAGAGGGTTAGAGGGACCAGCCCTGAGCCCACCACCCCTGCACAGCCCCCAAGTCCTGCTCGGGACCATCCCAGGAGCGTTTCTGCATACTCACATCTGAATCCATCTCGGGATACTTCCTCCCTTTGCTCTTTCCCAAGCATTTTGTTTTTCCTCCATCCAGAAGCTGACACCAGAATCCTTTCTTTGGATCAAACCTGCAAAGCAAGAGCTCTGCCTCACCCCTCTTGCCCCCAGGCTCACTGCCCAACAAGCCTCAGCCTTGCACGGGGGCTCTTCTCCATCCCTTCTTAATCCACAGCCCAGCTAACATCTTGTTATCAACCCCCTTGTACAACAGGTTCCCCACACAGCCATACAGTAAGCAGCCCGACAGGGTTCATTCATCATCCATCGCCCTGCTGTGAGGGAGCACAGGGGGATCTACGTGAGTTTAATTATTATTTTCTGCGGCACCTTTGGCCCTGGATGCCATCAGGAGCCCCACAACACCTGGGTGCTGGAAGGAGAAGCTCAGGGAAGGACTCACGCCAGGGTCTTGTGGTAATCAATGAAGTTGGTCACGCCAAGGAACTTCTGGACCGTCTCCATCACTTTGGCGGGTTCTGTTCGGAGCAGCTTGCCATCCAGGACCAGGATCTGCAAGGAGCAAGGCAGGGAAGTGAGGTCCCGCTGGTCCCAGCCCCGCTCTCCTGGGGTAACGACACCTTCATCGCACCTTTTGCCATCTTGGAGCCACCAGCCCGCGCAGGGTCCCCTTTTCAATGCCAATGTACCTCAGTGTTCACTCACACTGGGTGTTGGAAAATGAAATGCAAATAAAAGCCAGGGCCAGGATCCATCGAGGACAAAATCCGAGCTTCGGCTCAGGGCCACCCAACCCGCAGCCAGCCAGGATTGTATTACAGCAACTACGCCAGAAGCAGAGAACTAATAGACTTTATAAGGTTAAATGATGGTGGAAAAATCGTTCAGGGACTGAGCCCAAACACTGCCGGCAGCGCTGCACGGTGCGGGTCACAGCGGGGCTGGCATCCAACCACCATTTCCCCTGCAGGCAGCTCGAACCACGGGCAGCTCTGCCTGCTATTTCTGTCCTGCTTCAATGCTGCAGTTACACCAGACAGTTGCGGGTGAGCAGCGGGTGCCCCCACAGAGCCCCCCACAGCCCCCCGCCCCACGGCACCCTTTCCACCCTTCTTTGCCAGAAGACCAGCAGAATGACCCACCTGCCCAGGACCGGCACCAGGACACCTTGTGCATCACCCATCACCAACCTCACACAATATCTCCCCTCTGCCCCTTCCCCAAGTACTTCTACTCTTCCCTCCGTGGTTTTTAGGGTATAAGAAAAGCATGTCCCATAGGAGGACCCTTGCAGCTGACTTGGCACCCAAGATCTCTTCCCTGCACATGCTTGCTTGGGCAAGGGGGGCTTCTGGGGTGCTGCCGCCATGGGAGTGGGGTGCTCCCATCCCTACCTGGTTGGCATGGTAGCTGTTCAGCCAGCGCTCGATGTGGGTGGCGTACCAGCCTGGTACCAGGCAGCGGTTCTGCAGGGTCCGGAGCTTTGGAGCAGCCTCAGGTCCAGCCGTGATCACCTCGTGGAAGGTGTATTTCAGGGCAACCGGATCGTCATGAGCTCGTTGGTGCTGTCAGGAATGAGCGAGGCAGGTTTGTTCCCAGGGCAACCCAAATCCTGGGCTGCCCATGAGGTGCTGGGGCTGCCCATGAGGTGCTGTGGCTCTCCAGGCCACCATGCTGTGTCCCTGTGTGACTTGTTCAGCCAAAAAGCACGGCACCCGCAGCCACCCCACCTCCCAGACTGAGGTGATGGAGGGAAGCCCCTGTCCCGGAGGTGGTGGGAGGCTCACATCGCCCCACAGGGCTGCCTGAGCCAGGGAAGAGGCAGAGGTGGGCGGCTCACCTGGTACCAGGAGTAGGCTCGATCTGCAGGGTTGATGAGGATGGTGATGACTTTGGCCTTGGAGAGCAGGCGGCTCGCCGGGGAGCCACTTCTGAGTCAAAGTAGTTGGCACTTTTCTCGAAGTAGAAGTCGGAGGTGGTGTTGGAGGGGATGGGGAAGAACTCCATGTACCTGGAGGAGGCACAGCATGAGGCAGGTGGGCATCATGAGATGTCCCCGGCACCCACCCTCACAGGCGACACCTCAGACACTCTGTACCATGCACTAACCCTGCAGGGTCCCCCCAGGTCTGACACACTACCTGGGGCTCCACAATCCCCTCCAGCCATTTGGGAGGGCCAGGCTTCACCAGATTCCCCAGGCAGACCCCAAAACCAGGGGACAGCAGACGCATACACAGGCACAGGGCTTCTACCAAGGGCACTTCTGAGGCCTGGCAAGTGGCCTTTGCCTTCAGGACAACATCTCGGGCATAAATCATAGCGATGTGGTGGTCTGAAGGCAGCACAGCAGCAACCACCGCCAATGCTGACTGCACCACAGACCTTCACAGTAAGGCAAACCCTCCGACGACCCGACAGAGCTGGTGCTGGCAGGCACACAGCCTGGCAAAGGGCAGAGCCCACGCAGGATTTCGTCCCACCTTCCAGCACCCAGGTGGCTGCAAGGCCGATGGGAAACCCTGTGGCACTGCTGCTCTGATTCCTGAAGGGACCAGCGCTCCCAGCTCAGCCCCCGTGGCAGGGAGACCTACCAGTCGATGCCCTTGTGATAGTTGTGTCCGTTGAAGAACTGTATCTCCTCGAAGGTCTCTGAGCTGGGGTAGTTGCTGCTCAGGTCCGGGTGCATCCCCAAGAAGAGATAAAGGGCAGTCGTTCCTTCAGACAGACAGAAAGCAAGAGCTGACTTGGGCCAAACCTCCCTCCAAGCTCCACTTCAGGGCAGGAGGGCTGAGAGAGGTTTTTTGGGAGTGCATGGGAGACCTGTGAAGCCTCACGACATGCTCACAGCACCGACGGTGAAGGGAAGCACCTGTTTTTTGAGGCCCAATGATGAGAAGCTTTGGGAATCGGTCACAAGTCTTTTCTTTGGACCAAATGTCTTTGTGCCGCTTGTCTTCACAGGGATCCTGAAATGCAGCAGGGAGGATTAGAGACATGGCAGCCTGGTCAGGACCGCGCACCACTGCTCAGCCCCACAGATGTGCGGGGAGGCCACGCTGCTCAGCAAGCGGGGCAAAGACTGGGGTTACTTCCAGCTCTACAGGGCAAACTCCTTCCTGACACAACCCACAGAACCTCAGAGAGGTGAAATACCCCCTCTTCCCCCCATTCGAGGCCCAGGGGGTACCTGCCACAGTGGGTCCTTCTCCTCGGAGAAGATCTGGAAGTATTTCTGTGCCAGCTGCACAGGCGGCAATGTCTGGAGCTTCAAGTTGGTCCAGGAGTTGAGGAAGCGGACCAGGTGCTTGAAAGTGTACAAGCCCAGGCGGTCGTTGCCATAATTGGACAGATGGGTCATGAAGATGCTGATCTGAAGCGGAGAGGATAGAGCTGGGGTTAGCAGAGCCTTACCCAGCAGCTGTCCTGCGCAAACAGCTCCCATCCTGGCCAAGGACGTTGGTGACATCACCCAAAATGGCACTGCAGGACAGCTCTACAAGAGATGCCCCTGACAGCTGGACGGCAGTACTCACGGGGTTGAGGAGCACGGTCAGGAAGAGTTCACCCCCATTGATGATTTTGTCCAGCTCACTGGAGCCGCCGGGATATTCATTGTAGAAGATGGTGTGCGTGAAGAGGCCACAGGTTTGCCGGGGGAGTACCTGTGGCAGGAGAAAGACATGGATGGAACATTCAGGGCTGGGTCCCCTTCCTCCTCCAAAACAAAAAGGGGATCCTCAACCCCCCAGGGGTCACGATTGGCTCCACTGCCCCTCACCACCCTCAACGTGAATCCTGCTACCCACAAGGGATGGAGGCAGATAGACAGAGAAGCCAGAAAGTGTCATCACACAACCTTCTCCTGTGCAGGATGAGCAGAGGGCACAGCTCCCTCAAACAGAAGCAGCTGAGCTGCCCAGAAACCACCCACTGAGGTTTTTGGGGAGGCAGAGGAGGGAAGCAGCAGAGACAAAGCCCAGCCACCTACCATGATGCCATTGTGGATGAAGCCACGGCGATAGCGAGCAGGTTTCAGGTGGGGGTACTCCTCTGTGCTCGTCACTTTGATCGACCAAACCTGCTTCCAAGCTTCGTACAACTGCACGTGGACGGGGTACACGCCCGAGTGGTGGGGGGCCACGGCGTACCCCATGTCAGTGGGGATGCCATGCTCCTGCAAAGAAGAGAGCAGGGAGTGGGTGACCATGGAGACCTCAAAACCACAATGTCCCAAACCAATCTCTCCCCAAAAGACTGCCCATTCCCAACCACAAATAGTCAATTCATGCCTCTGGAGAGCAACCAGGGCAGGGCTGTGCCCGTGCATCCTCTCCTAACCAGAGCTGTCTCCAGGAAAGGGAGCCCAGGAGCAGACATGCTGGCTGGACACTTGCTCCTCTGCTTCATGTGGACCGTCCTCATCCCCTCCATGTCTGCTGTCACCAACAAAACAACAGCAGCAAAACTCTTCTGTGGAGAACGAGGAGATACATCCATACAGGACTGTAAATTGGTCTATATAAATATAAAACAGCCTGGAAACTGTGAGCTGGATAACTGCCCATCCCAAGTAGGGATGGTCCAGTCTCTCTCTAATTAAGGACCTCTAATGATCATCCAATGAATTCAAGTTAGCCTGAAGATCCCTCTCTTAGGCCATAGGACTCAGTTATTATTGCTGGCTCTGGCATTACTTGTTTGGATTCAGGACAGCTGTGAGCAAACCAGTCGATCACAGCACGATCTGGTCTCAATGCTGGCTTTATCAGCTCAGCCTGCAGAGGGAGTTTCCACCAGCAGGAGCCTCCTGGCACACAGCCACGGCTCCAGGATCCCGCACCAATGCCCAGCACAGCACCAAACCGCGCTGGGCTGAGCACCAACCCCAGGCTCAGGCAAAACCCAGCACAGAGCAACCCAAGCGGCTGCCTCCTCCTGCAGAGCCATGGATTGGAACTGCACATCCTCTCGCAAAGCAACGGATCGGAACCTTACATCCTCCTGCAGAGCCACGGATCGGAACCCTACATCCTCCTGCAGAGCCACAGATCGGAACCCCAGAGCCCCCAGGCTGGAATTCCACATCCCACCCTGGGTTGTAGCTCCACATCCCCCCTGGCCAGGCAACGCACACACGATGTCTCCCCTCGAACAGGCACCAGGGCAGCTCGCTGCCACAGCAGCACGTTGGCTGGTGCAGATAAATTCTTCTGCTCCTGGTAGTGGTGTATAAATGGATTTACCCACCCAGCTGCAACATGGGGGATGTGACTTAACATTCAGGTCCCTTTGCTCTGGCAAGCAGAGATCATCACCCAGCTCCCTCAGGAAGTCTTTCTGTCCCACTTCTCCCATCCTCCCCCCACCACGAGTACTCCCACCGACGGCATCTTACTCACGACAGCGAATTTCTTGTTTAAGGTCATCTGCTCAGCAAGAACTGACTGGTTGTGGAAGAGGTGAGGCTGCATGTGGCTCCACATGTGGGGGAACCACCAGAACTCCCTCACATAGGACAGCAGCAGGTCATCACCTTCGTCCTCCGCATCGGTACCTGCGGGCATGACGCTCGCCATCACTGCCCAGCACACAGAGCTGTGTGCAAGCAGCAGGGGCAGAGGGAGGGGGAGCCCCTCTCGGTGACTGGTGATGGGGGGCAGTCGGGTCGGATGCCCAAGGACCCTTCCGCAGCCCCAACTTCAGCCTCTTTGAGCACCGGTTTGTGCCCCAAAACCAGCCATTTGGCACCAACACCAAAGCGATGCCCTCACCCTCCTCACCCGTGTGGAAGAATTTCCCTGAGTATCCCAGGTTGAAGGTGAAGTTTGGGATGTGGGTGCGCAGCTCATTCTGCGTGTTGAACAGCGCCTAGGAGTTGGGGAGAGAAAGCAAGATGCCCTCAGCAGGCTGCCACGGGGATGGCTGCCATGCCAGGGCAAGGACTTGTGTCCCCAAGAGCTTTGCAGAGGGGGTCCCAGGGGGGCCAGGGGAGGCTCGGGGGGCAGGAAAGCTCATCCCTGGAGCATTCCAGAGCAGGTACAAGTTCCCAGCCCCACACAGCCCCTGCCCACCCAGCCAGGACATCACAGCCGCACCTTGACATCTTCCACCTTCATGCGCGTGCCCTCCTTGCCCACAAAAATGTCGTCGATGTCCACCAGGATGTAGCGGTCAAGGGGCAGGGAGAGCCTCTTGCCCGTCAGGAAGGAGACAGAGTCCACGAAGACCAGCTTGTGCAGCCAGAAGTTGAGGTTGTTGCCAAAAAGCACCCTCTGGATGCCATCGTGGAGGCCCAGGTCCTGCATGACGGTGGTGTGCAGCGCTGCGTCCACGCTCATGTGCGGGATGGACTCAGCCGACTTGGTCTTGGCCAGGAGGACGGGCTCATAGGTGGAGTGGTTGGACTGGAAGACAGTCCAGTCCTCGCCGGGCAGCACGCCCTTCTCCACCTCGCTGGGGCGCGTGATGTAGAGCAGGGGAGACTTGGGGTTGATGCTGCAGTCCTTCAGCGCCAGGTTGGAGTGGAGGAAGAGGGGGAAACCCTTCAGCTGGGCGCTCAGCAGGCTGTTCTCGTTGGCCTGCACAGGGAGAGACAGCGGATAGAGGTGACAGGATGCCAGGGGCTCACTGGGGGCACCGACGGCTATACCAAGGGGGTAGGTGGCTCACCACCCCTGGAGATCTAGGTGCCAGGTCTCCTCCTTCCTCTCCCGAGCACAGAACACCCTCATCCCCCTTGCACGCTCAGTCCTGCTCACATCCAATGTGCAAATCTCCCCGGGGCTGTGAGCCCTGGGCAGGAGAAGGGCAGGGGGTTGCCGACCAAAATACCTGCTCATGCTTTTGGTGAACCCCAGCCAGGGTCACTGCTGGGAAACGGGATGCTAAAAGCAACCAGACAGATCCCAGAGATGTGTTTTTACTCACAAAATACCCAGGGGCCATACAACCCTTCCAGGAGGATGGGGGCTAAGACGGTGCCCTCTGCTAGCAGCCTGTGCCCCGTACCAGGCTGCACACTGGCCCCATACCAACTCGTGCTGCTCGCAGAAAGCAAGGGCAGGGCAGAGTCCCTGCAAGGCAGTGGGACCCCAGAGCCCCCCCTTCACACCCAGTCTGGCTGTGGGGTCTCGGCTCTCCCTGCACACCCCCTTACCTTGAAGAAGCCGATGATGCCCACGCCGTACTCCACGCAGTACTTGTCCAGCAGCTCCCGGTTCCAGGCATCCAGGTTGACGTACTTGAGGATGTTCTCGTAGATGATGAGTGCAAAGCGGCCCCGGTCCTTGTCGGTCAGTGTGGGCATGTCCCCCTTCCCTGGGGCGATCTCTGTCCTGTATTTGAAACGACTCGACTCCAAAATGGCCACGATCTCCTGGCCCAGCTGGGAGTAGAGGCTCTCCACGAAAACCAGCACCAAGGGGTCTGTGCGGGAGGAGTCAACCACCTTGAG